TAGAAGCCCAGGCTACACAGAGTGACCACCTGAATGAGAACTGAAGGGCGACAATTAACAGCCCCAGGTGAGCTTCCAAGCACAGCCAGGATCAACTGACGGTCCTGGGCTCTGACATCACTGAGGTGCCAGCTGATCTGGGTCCCCAGATGCTGCAGCCCCAGCCAACGTCAAAAGGAAGGACCACCCAACTAATACCAGGCAACCTACAGAATCTTGAGAGAGAATAAAATGGCTTGTGTTTTAAGTCACTAAGGTTTAAGGTGGTTTTTAAGCATCAACTGATAATTAAAACCCTTCTCAGTTGCAATAACAGATTTCAGAAGACAATGTAAACATATCTTTAGAGTGCTGAGTGGAAATAATGTTCAACCCAAAATTCCAAAACAAACTTTGCTCTCTAAAACCAAAACGCATTTTGAGACAAACAGTGAAAGATAACCGCTTACAATCTTTCACAGAAATAAATACTATATACAGAATATACGGATACTAGAAATAATTGCAAGCAATGAAATGTATAAATACGTTATAAGTCTAAGCAAGCATTGACTTGGTAAAGATAAGACACAACTACGATATCAAATAGTCTCTGATCTGGTTAACTATTATAATTTGTTTTGGTGTTTTGAATTTCTGCTTACTGAAACACTAGCATAGAGAAATGTCCTAAATAACAAGCATATGTGAAAGCATCCTTTGTACACTCATTCCTCTCAGGAGACTGGATCTGCAGTTGGTTGGATGTAGGATCCTCAGATGCAGAACCTGAAGGATTGACTGTACTCGCTATTTGTCAATTCTTCCTCTCTTTCCCCACCACCCCTCACAGGTGACCCTCCCATCCTTCCCCACCTGACATGGTCTCGGATCCAACCATCAAGGGATAAAGAAGAGATGCTTGTAAGAGGAAGACAGAAGAGGGAAGCCAGGCAAGAACGCAGCCCGGTGCAGCATTTGCTGCCTGCCTCTTTACTTTCACCTGCATTATCATTCATGGACCAGCAATGTGGTCATTTTTTATATTAAGGATCAAGTTATGCCAAAAAGGTATCTTACCAAAGAATTTAAGCAAGAAACTCCCATGACCAAATGAACTATTCATTTCTTCCCCATCTCATTCTTAATATGCAAATTTTCAATCACCAACTTCAAGTTTTCAGTAGTGCCCCAAATTTCAAGAGTAGAAAGAAAGTTCAGGGCTTCAGTTTTCAATTAGCATAGAACTCAGTTATAGCAGAAAAATGATTAACCATTTTTAAAAAGGCTATTAAGCATTACTTACTTTAACAGCAAATTTCTTTGATGCCATGGCTTACTGGTTCCAGAGTAATTACAGACCTTTAATAGAAGAAAAAAGAAAGTTACAAATAGGTGTATCAAAGTCTCTTTCTAGTTGGATATAATATAGGAAAAAGTTTGGCTGAATAATCAAATATCAATAGTTATTTTTACAAGATGAATGTTCACTTATAACTGGTCTTAATAAAAATACTACATTGAATCAGCAATTTAAAAACTGCCCAAAGAAAAGCACAGACCCAGATGTATCCTACCAAATGTTTAAAGACAGATTAATACCAATCCTTCTCAAACTATTTTAAAGAAACAGAAGCATGAAAAAACTTCTCGTATTACTCTAAGAGGCCAATATTACTCTGATACCAATACCAGAGATATCACAAGAAAGGAAATCTACACACCAGTATTCAACAAAATATTACAAACCAAATCTAGCAACATATAAAAAGGATTATACACCATGACCACATTAGATTTATCATAGGAATATAAGGTTGGTTTTACATCAGAAAATTAATCAATATAATACACTACTTTAATAGAATAAAAGGAAAAAACAAAACACATGATCATCTCAAATCTGGAAAAGATTAACAAAACCCAACACATTTTTTTCTTTTGTCTTTGTTTATTTAATTAAACTTGTAAAGGTTAATAAATATAGTCCAGAGTTAGTAGGTTGGTATTATAACATTTATTAAAATAATGCTATGGGTTAACAGAAATAGCAAAGAATCAAAGAATTAAAATGCAAGTTATGTAAAATCCCAACTAAAACCCAAAAGCGTTTAATGTATTCATCCACTAGCTAAAAGCCCAAGAAAGACAAGACACCCAGTATAATAAAGTACTGCAAAACAATTGGCAATTTTCAATTATCAAAATTGTGGATTTTCAACATTATAAACTGACTATACCTCAATAAAAATTAAAAAAAAAAGAATCAAAAAAATTGTGGATTTTGTATCCTTTTCTCAATCAAGAAAAAATTTTTTAAATGTTATATAACATACATATAAAACAATATAGAAAAATACACTATAAACTTGTAACAATGTCTGTAAATACATCATCTTACACCTTTCTCACAGGCAACAGGTTGGTTACGGCACACTCATAGCATGAAACTACTAAGATAATAAAGAATAGACAAAAACACATGTCAGCTGTACAGTAACATACAAGCGATACTCCCATCTACCTGCGCTAAAAAGTTACATAAGACTGTCGGAAAAAAAAGTCTTAAAAACTACATATTTTAATAAGAAATAAATTCAATAAAGAATGATAATACTGAGAACCCAGGCATTCAGAGATTCCAAAAGTCATGCTTTTTTTTAGATTATCCAAAATTTTGTCAACAAGTTTTCAAAAGTTTGTTCAGAGCCAACATTACTTACAAATGTCACACATTTATTTCATACATTTACTTTTCTCCCCATAAAAGGCCTTTGATAAACATCTAAAATGTCCAGGTGTAACACAGTTGAGATGAAATTGGATCAAATACTGGTATCGTTTTTAAACTATCACCTCAAGTGTTTTGAGTGTTGCAAATTTATTCAACCAAACAAACAAAATAAAAATCAAAATGGCACAGCATATATTGTAAATAAATCAAAACAACTGTATGTGTAACGGAAAGACAAAGCAGTGGCACATTACACCAAAGCTAGCTGAATACAAAACAATGAATGTCTATTGCATAGTAAATAAATTGAGAATGGTTTCCAAGTGAGGCAAGATAGAGGAGGAGGTCACCACGAAGGTGCTTACTGAGCTTACTGCAGAGCTTTGACTGTGAAGCTGTGAAGGTTTGCAAGAGGGAAGGAGCTGATAAGCTGGGGACCCACTGCCACCTGGTATTTGCCACATCTGGTACCAAGCAGTTAATGATTATGTAAGAGTTTAGATGTAGGCTTTGCGCACAAGTCACTTCAACTACAAAACTAACTGAACTTCATAAGAAATTGGAAGTTTAAAGTCACATGTAGTTGAGTATTTATACGCATAATGATGCTAGTTTTTCACATTCTTTTAAAGTTAAAAAAAGAAAGGAGAGTGTGTATGGGGGTGGTGGGCGGGGTGGCTTAGGTTACTAAAGCCAGAAAAGAGACGGACTACCCAAGTGGTCTGGTAGGGCAGAAACAACTCTGGTTAAATTTGGGTTATTTAAAAACATTGTTTTCCAGAACAAAAATCACAAAGATTCATTTTTGTGAAAAAGATGGCTAAGTATACTCTTACCTCCAATTAGTCAGAAAAAAATCCAACACTCCGCCCACTGCCCTGAATAAAATAAAGCTCTAATTTTGCCTGTGGACTGATGTTCAAATTACACATAATTTTTATTTCAGAATCCTTTGGGCTAATATTAAATATGCAATAACTGAAAGCACTCACGCTTTTAAAAGAAGGATGTTTTAAAACTTACTTGTAAAGTATTAGAAAAGTTATCAAATTTTTTCACAGTATCAGATTTGGCAAATTTATATCAAGGTAACGTGGCAAAAATCATACAATTCAAACCATTAACTCAAATATTTGTCTCCCTTCAAATCTTCTTTCACATACTAGGTGATTGAGGAACATGAATTAACCTGTATTCTTAGGGAGGAGCTGATCTTTCGAGATACTTGACTAAATAACCATGAAGGAACATAAGGTACTTTCTTTTCTTTAGACTTATTCCAATACTTAAAAAAAAAAAAAAGACAAAAGGCTGTTTTAATCTTTTGTTTCTTGACAACCACCAGAAAAAAATCATTTAATGAAATAAAAGGTTTCTTTGTTCTTTCTCTTTTTTTAATAACACTTGAAAGCAAAAAATGCTACATTTCTGAAAATATATATATTTTTCCTGCACCAGCACACTTGTATAGTAAAAGTATGTACTTTTCATTTATTTCAATGCACTACACTTAATATACAATCTCATTACATGAATACAGCATACAGGTAAGCATGGCTTTTACATCCTTAATGTAAAAAACACATGATCATCTCAAGTTTAGAAAAGATTAACAAAACCCAACACATTTTGTTTTGATTAAAAAAACCCCAATATACCAGGAATAAAAGGAAGCGTACTCAACCTGATAAAGAGCACCTATGAAAAACGCACAGCTAAAATCATACTAAGTGAGGAAAGACTGAAAGCTTTCTCCTCAAAGAGGAAAAGATAGTGATGTCTGCTCTTGCCACTTCCCCTCATTGTATCAGAGGTTCTAGCCAGGGCAATTAGGCAAGAAATAGAAACAAAAGGCATCCAGATTGGGAAAGAAGAGATAAAACAAATGACAGTGTTCTTACATGTAGAAAATCCTGAAGAATTAAAAAAATTAACAGAATTACAAAGCAAGGCTATAAGATATAAACATTTAAAAATCAACTATGCTTCTATATACTGGCAATGAGTAATCCTGAAATAAAATTAAGAAAACAATTTCATTTACCATAGCATCAGAAGAATACTTATGAGAAATTTTAACAACAACAAATAAGATTTGTACACCAAAACCCATAAAACATTGAAAAAATAAAACAAAAACTTAGGTAAATGGGCATATATCCCATGTTCATGGATTGGAACACAATATATTTTGAGACAGCCATACTCCCCAAATTGATCTACAATGCAATCTCCATCAAAATCCCACCTGACTTCTTTACAGAAATTGACAACCTTATCCTAAAATTCATATGAAAATATAAGACATCTGTAGTAGACAAAATAATCTTGAAAAAGAAGAACAAAGTTGAAGAATTCATACTTCCCCATTTGAGAACTTTCTACAAAGCTAGAGTAATCAAGATAATGTGGTACTGGCATAAAGACAGATCCATAGATCAATGGAATAAAACTGACAGCAGTCCAGAAACCCACCCTTACATTTATGCTCAAATTATTTTAAACAAATGTACCGTGACAATTTAATGCAGAAAAAATCCTTTCAAAAAATGGTTCTAAGTCAATGGGATATCCACATGCAAAAGAACAAAGTTGGACCCCTACATCATACTATATACAAAAATTAACTTGAAATGGATCAAAGACCTAAATATTTGCAAGGGCTAAAACTATAAACTCTTATTAGAGGAAAACACAGATGTAAACTTTTGTGACCTCACATAAGGCAATAATTTCTTAGATATGATACCAAAAGCACAAGTGACAAAAGAAAAAAAACTGGTAAACCACATCTTATCAAAATTTACAACTTCAGTGTTTCAAAGGACACTATCAAGAAAGCTGAAAAGACAACCCACAGAGAGAATATCTGCAACTCACACAGCAAACAAGGGACTCTTGTCCAGAATATATAAAGAACACTTAAAACTTAATAATAGATTACTAATCCAATTTAAAAATGGACAAAGGACTTGAATAGACATTTCTCCAAAGAAGAAATACAAATGGCCAATAAGCACATAAGGAGATGCTCAAAATGCTAGTCATCAAGGAAATACAAATCAGAACCACAACAACATCCCCACCAGGATGGCTAAAATAAAAAAGACAAACAATAAATGTTGACAAAGATGTTGATAAATCAGAATTCCCATGCATGGCTGGTGAGAATGTACAAAATGTTGCAGCCACTTTGGAAAACAATTTGGCAGTTCTTCAAAAAGTAAAACATAGAACTGCCATATAATCCAGCATTTCCACTCCTAGGTATGTACCCAAGAAAAATTAAAAACATAAAACTTACACAGAAATGTTCACAGCAGCCTTAGTCATAGTAACCAAAAAAAAAAAAAAGGAAACAGTCCAAATGTCCATCAAATGGTGAATGGATAAACCAAATGGTGAATGGATAAGCCAAATGCATATGTACGTACAATGGAATATTATTTGGTAACAAAAAGGAATAAAGTTCTCATACTCCTCTTTACTGTGTTCAGCCAAGCAAATGCCCTCTCCCACCCTTGCAGAAGCCTGAAGAATTACTTTCTAGAGAGGGTAAGACAGACAATCTGTGGTCTGGAAAACATCAGGCCCAGTATAAAGTTTAGCGAATCCTACAGAAAAAAAAGAGAAATTAAGGGGCAGCCCACATGTCCCTTGTGACGGTTGATTTTATGTGCCACCTTGTCTAGGCTAAGGGATGCCTTATAACTAGTAAAACATTGTTTCAGGTGTGTCTGTGAGGGTGCTTCTGGAAGAGATTAGCAGACGGCCCTCCCCAACGTGGGTGAGCATCATTCAATGCACTGTGGGCCCAAACAAAACAAAAAGGTGGAGAAAGGGTGAATTCAAAATCTCCCTAATTAGGACAACCATCTTCTCCTGCCCCTGGACACTGGGACTCCTGGTTCTTGGGCATTTGGACTTGGACTGAATCATACCACTGCTTTTTCCCAGGTTTTTTCTGTTCTCTGGAGAAGCTTGACTAATACCCTTCTACCCTGCCTAGTCTCTCCAAATAAGAGACTGAAACCTCCCCATTCAGGGAACCAGATGGGTCTGAAAGAACTGACATCAGGGGTTCCCCAAGTAAACAGCCGAAACAGATGGCCTTAAAGTGAAGCCCACACCCACAAGCCCCACATCTGCGTGCAGCACTAACTTCCACCTTTTCAGTGTCCCGTTCTCATAGACACATAAACAACCAGGAATCAACTCCCATATAAGGAAAGATTATCATGAAAGAAAACAAAACAAACAGAAAAAAAAAAACTACTTGGCTGAAACCTAACTTTGCAAGGAGAAAGAAACCTTTTTTAAGAAACTATCACTAATACCAGCATGGCAGGAGATACTGCACCCATAAAGCAATAAATAACTTTTTTTTTAAAAAGGAACTTTTGGAAAACAACAAATTAAAACTATGATAGCTGAAATAAAAACTTCACAGAAGGTCTGGAGTATCAAATTGATTAAGTCACCCAGAACCTTCAGCAAAAATAAAGAAGATGAAAAATAAGAGAGAATAAATGAAAAATTAAAGGACCTGGTCAGGAGAACTGACAGGTAAAAATCAGGATAGAAGCAGACCCATAGGAGGGCATGAATTGCAGTAAAATTTCAAGCCTTGATGACAAAAAGAATCTTAAAAAAGTATGTGTGTGGGATGGTGAGCTGGGGTAGGGGAGGTGGTAAAGAGAATATTTGGCTCCAAACTGCCCAAAACAACTCTGGAAGCTAAAAGGCAACAGTAAAATACCCTCAAAAATCTGAAGAACATTGTTTTCAAGCTCCAGTTGCATTTAAACACAAGGGGGAATAGAACATTTTCAGACGTGCAAGGTCTTAAAAAATGTATGTCCCATGCATCCTTTCTTAGGAAGCTATGAAAGATGTGCTTCACCAAAATGAGGAAACTGCCCAAAAAAGAAAAAAAAAAAAAACACAGAAGATACAGGAAACAGGAAGGCTGAGACAGGCAAAAGGCAGAGGAAATCCCAGGATCTGGTGAAAGCAGACCCCGGCATGAGACTCATGGGCTGGACAAGCAGAGAAACATCAGGACACACAGAGAGGTTGTGAGGGTCCAGGGAGGCATTTTCGGGACGTGTCTGGGTGCGTGCAGATGAATTTCAGACAACCAGTGGAGAACATGAGATTGAATTAGGGCAGAAGCACGGAAAGCTAAGCAACTGAATAATAACAAGGCAATTACTGATTCCAGGATAAACAAAAATTATGCAGAAAATAAAGAGAGTACTTTATACACAGCTCAGTTATGACCAGCATTTACAGTCTTGATAATAAACATTAAATCTTGTCCTAAATAATATTATGTTTACGACAACATCAGGAGGATGGGAAATGTGTATGCATGTATGTGGTAGGGACTCTGGGGTTAAAACGGAGCTCCCTTCAATGTTAATGGAACGTCTCAGAAGCAAAACTTACAACCAATAATAATCAACATCACCATCACCACCACAACAGAAATAATAAAGCAGAAATATGGAAAGAAACCTAAGGATAAGGACCCAGTTTTTAAGTGCAAATCTCTGCTCCAACGTGAAGAGCAAGTTGAAGGGAGCTGCTATGGAGGAAGGAATGGGTAGGAAGGATGCCCTTACTCATGAGCCTTGTGCGTGGAACTATCTGCCTGTTTCAGTCATGTGCACAGGTACTTTTAAAGAAGCATTGCCCAGCAGAAATATAATGCAAGCCACAGATGTAATTTTAAATATTCTAGTAGCTGCATTTAATATAGAGGTACACAAAAACAGGCGAAATTAATTTTAATAATATGTTTTATTTAACCCAGGAAATCCATCATATTATCATTTCGGCATGTAATCAATACAGAAATACTTACATTCTTGGTATTTTAACTAAGCTTTCCAATCAGGTATGTCTTGTACATTTCCGGCACCTCAATTTGGACTGGCTTACATGCCAAGTTAATGGCTACCGTAATGTACTGTTCAGTTTAAGGGGTTTTGGTTTTATTATAAGTAAAGCAGTTATTTCTGAATCCCACGCCCCTTATTTATAAAATTGGGATAGCAATACCTAACTCGAAATTATTGAAAGGACTAAGAATGTGAAAATCCTCAATAAAATCACTCATAAACTCTAGGCCCTGGAGGAATGTCAACAGTTATCATTACTTAGTCAATGGTGACTTTCTAAAAATCTGATGAATTTAATGATTTTTAAAAAATCTGATACCCTTGGATTCGAATGTTTTTAATACACAAAAATATCTTTACCCAAACCCTAAGTCACTTTAATTATTCATTCCTATTCTCTGAATAATGTAATGCATATGATTTAGAAAAAATTTTAATGATGTTCAACTTAGTAAGCCCATTTAGCAAGAGGTATAAACGGAAAAAATAAGTTTCTAGAAAGTCAGGAACATGTGTCTGAAAACAGCATTTACAAAGGTTGTTCTGAAAACTTTAGACAGAGCTTTCAACTTGTATTATTTGAGCCTGATAAACACAGTCCCTTAAATAAATGAAATTAGGCTTGAATAACTTCTACTAAGAATTTAGGGAGTCCCTCTTTGGGGTACTTAGAGGGGACACAAATGGTTTCAGCTAGACAGAGAAAAGGGGAAGAGAGTTTTGCCCGCAAGTACCTAACCAAAGCTGAAGCCTGTGTGATCTAATTATTTTTCATTATACACTGGTTTTCCCATATGTCCTCCCTTTCGCAAAGGACAGGAGGACCACACGGAAGACCGTATCTGCCATTAGACAGATTGTGAGTCATATTTATAGTGAAGGTTATATTTTCAACTCACAATAAGGTTCCAGTCAACTCTTCTTTAAAATGATCCTTTTTTTCCTTTTATTAATAAAGCAAGAGCAATGACATTTACTTTTTAAGGACTGAATTCTTCAAAAAGAATCATCAGAGCCCAATCTCAAAAATATGATCTGTAAGAATCAGAACTGAAAAGCTCATATTTTTATATGAAGTAATATGGTCGCTAGTGTAAAACAGGCTGCATGAAAAAAGAAACTAAACAATATATTTTGCATATTCTCAACCCATTTTTAATACCATGTGGCATTCTGCCTCTCAACGTAATTTTTTCATTTGTTTCCACAGTGTTTTCCATCTCAAAAAGTAACAATTTTAGGACTAAAAGAGACCCCACAGACCATCTATTCCCAGGCCTGACTTCTGCTCCCCTAACGAGAACTTGGGGGACCAGGCCAGGGTCTCATAGCTGAAGGCCAAGGGTGAGAGAGAGTCCTGTCAGCTCACTGAGGGCACCATCTGTCCCCTGCAGAAGTCCCAAAGTTGAAAGCTAACTGGGCTGTCAAGGTAGGGGTGCTCTCTCTCCCTTAACCTTCCCCACCCCCTGGCCCCACCAACACAAGTTCCCAACACAGAGGATGACTTCAAATAAAGCTACGTTAGTGGTTCTCTCCTGCTAATCAAAGAAAGAGAAAGAGAGAGAGAGAGGAAAAGACAGAGACAGAGAGGGGAGGGAGGGAGGGAAGGAGAGACTCTACAGCCAAGGTAAATGTGGTATGAATGAATTTAATTCACCATTATGCCATGTGACATGGCACACTTATTCACAAATGAAAAATACAGTCTACCAAGATAAAGCCCATCACACATCTGGACAGCAGTTGCACCGACCTCGAGCCTGCATACTGGCTGCGGTCATTTTAGATAAAGAAGGCATATTTCCTTTGCTTCATTACAGCATTGGGCACAGGTGCTAGACATGAACTACAGGGCAAATTGAAATCTGAAATGAACCGAACCAATCTGCTAATTTCCAAATATGGTGCAAGCACAAACTTACCCATCCTGGAAGGAGCAGCTTCTCACACTTGAAGAGCCGTCAGAGCCCCACTTAACACGACAGGGTGCTCAGGAAAGTCTGTTGGATGAAGAAATATCCCAGATAATAAGAACCGAGACTGTTTTACTTTTGTTTTTTTAAGGGAAATTTCCAAAAAATGTATTGAATCTTTCCTGACTTTCATTAAAATACCATATATTGAAAATTTCTTTGATACTCCAGATGAAAAGTATCACCTGTCATCACAGTGAGCAATATACATATTAACGCTCCACTGAGCTGCTGGTTCCCACACAGCGGAGCTGCCCACAGCAGGGCCAGGGAGGTTTTGCCTGCTCCCCAGGCTTTCTGTGAGCTGTCAGAGGGCCTGTCTCCCAAGGCCCCCTTTCCTCTCTCAGTTCTGTTGACCGTGGGGGAAAAAAACCCCACAACCTAAAAGCTGAGAATTATGTTTTATTTGGAGCATTACTGAGAAGTATAACCCCGAAACAGCCTCTCAGATAGCTCTGAGAAACTGTTTCAAAGAGATAACCTTTGTTTACTGAAATAGCAGGTGATATTCTTTGTCCCCAGTTCTTCAACTTAATGGGATAAGCCTAAAAACCTAAAAGACCAAGTTTGTCAGATGGTGTGTTTTCCAAGCCACTCTGTGGATTTGCGTGAAATTTGGTATGAAGGCTCTGAGCCCTCTCTTACATAATAAAATGGCTGTTACCTTTACTTGGGGATTAGGGTGTCTACAATGATGAAGTTGTGAGTCACTGTGCATCAGACTATGCCTTCTGGACCTGAGCCTCAGCATTTAACTCTTTCTGCCTCAGTAGAACAATCCTGTGAGACAGGCCCATCTCTAAGGTCTATTCCATTTCTAAATCTTTGTGATCCAAAATACAATAGCAGTTCCAGGAATAATGCCAGTGGGCAAATTATTCCAAAGAAGACAACAAGAGGGAACTCCTTCCCCCTCACAACCCCTTTTATGAAGCCCTGAAAGCAAAACCAGACAAGGACAGATTAAGAGAGGAAAAACCACAGCCAGTTCTATACATGAACATAAAAGCAAGAATTCTACACAAATAGAAGCAATCTGAATCTAGCAACATATAAAAAATACACCAGAACCAAGTGAGAGTTACCTGAGGAGTGCAAGGTTGGTTTAACACTAGAAAAGTAACCATACTTAAAAACCCAAGTAGAATAGAAGCACATGATCATTTTAATGGAGGTAGAAAAAAAATAAATAAAACACTAGAAATCTAAGAATGGAAAGAATTTCTCAATCTGAAAAAAAGCATGCACAAAAAAATGTAGCCAGTGTGCTTACTGATGAACCATAAAAGCAATTTCTCTGAAAAAGGTAGAAAATGTAGATTAAAATATCACTTAAACCAGCATCCCACAAATATAACATATCTAGGAACGAATTTAGTAAGATACGTGCAAGACAAGACCTCTTCACATAGACTTTCGAATTTAACGCAAACCCAGCCCCAATCTGGAACAGGGAATCTGAGCAAGCATAAAAAGGACTAAGATACTTGAGAGAGGGGGAAAAAAAAAGAAAGAAAAGAAAAACAAAGGAGAGAGCTTATCTTACCAGATATAGCATAACTACCACAATGCTACAGTAAATCGAATAATGTGTTGGCAAAAGGGTTAACACAGAGGCCGAAGGGACAGACTACACAGCCCAGAAGCCAGCCCACGAGTTCATGGAAACGGATGATGGGAAAGAGTGCAGATCAGTGGGAAATAAAGAGGTTATTCATTCAATAAATTGTGGTCCAACAACTGTTTATCCACTTGGAAAAATATAAAACTGGACCACTGCTTCCCACAACACATAAAAATCAATTACAAATGAGCTAAAAACTTAAAGGTCAAAAGTTAGAACCTTTCAGAAAATATCTTCATGAACTCAGAGAAAGAAATGCATTTTTAAACTAGACACAAAAAGTACAATCCATAAAGAAAAAGAATGCTAGATTTGGCCATATTAATATTAAAATTTCTCTACAGACTGTAATATTTGCAATCCACATATCCAGTAAATGACTTATAAACTAGAACATGTAAAGAACTCTCAGAACTCAACAGTATGAAATACAAACAATCCAAAGTCAAAAATACAAACAAAAACAAAGTCAAAAAGTGAGCAAAGCCTGGGCATACATCCAGAGAAAGCCCTAATTCAAAAAGACACCTGCACCCCAATGTGTATAGCAGTAGTATTTACAATAGCCAAGACATGGAAACAACCTAAATGTCCATTGAAGGATGACTGGATAAAGAAGTTGTGGTATATTTATACAATGGAATACTACTCAGCACTAAAAAACTGATAAAATAATGCCATTTGCAGCAACATGGATGACCCTGGAGAATGTCATTCTAAGTGAACTAAGCCAGAAAGAGAAAGAAAAATACCATATGATATCATTCATATGTGGGATCTTAAAAAAAAAAGACAAAGTAACTTATATATAAAACAGAAACAGGTTCACAGACAGAATACAGACTTGTGGTTGCCAGTGGTGGGGAGAGCCAGAAGGGATAAACTGGGAGTTTGAGATTTGCAGATACTGACTGGTATATATAAAATCGATAAACTGGTTTCTTCTGTATAGCACAGGGAACTATATTCAGTATCTTGTAGTAGCTTACGGTGAAAAAGAATATGAAAATGAATATACATATATTCATGTATGACTGAAGAATTGTGCTGTACACCAGAAACTGACACAACATTGTAAACCGATTATACTGCAATTGAAAAAAAAACAGTGAGCAAAGGACATGAACAGGTATTTCACCACAGAGGACAAACAGATGATAAACAAGCACATGACAAGATATTCAAATTATTACATACTGTATGCAAATATCAAATCACTACATAGTATACCTGAAACCAACATAATATTGTACACCAGCTATATTTCAATAAAAAGAAAAGATATTCCAGAGGAGAAGGCATAGCTCAGAGGTAGAGCACATGCTTAGCATGCACAAGGTCCTAGGTGCAATCCCCAGTACTTCCATTAAAAATAAATAACATAATTACCTCCCCCACCCCCCCAAAAAAAGCTTAAAAAATAAAAATTAAAACAAGATATTCAACATCAATAGACATCAGGAACATGCAAAATAAAACCTCAATGAGGTATCACTACATAACTACCAGAATGGCAAGCAAAAAATAGTGACATCAAATGCTGGTGAGGATGCAGAGGAAATGGACCTCACACACATTGCTGGTAGGACTATAAAGATGGTAGAGCCACTCTGGAAGAGACTGGCAGTTTCTTAGAAAGCTAAACATGCAGTTACCACATGATCCAAAAACTGCATTCCTGGTAACTTATTTCAGAAAATGAAAACCTAGGCTCACAACAAAATCTGTACACAAATGTTCATAGCCACTTTATTCTTAGTGGCCCAAAACTGGAAACAACCCAGATGTCCTTCGGTGGGTGAGTGGTCAAACAGACTGTGGTATATCTATACCACAGACATTAACCAGCAGTGATACAGTGAACCACCGGTACACAAGACAACTTGGATGGACCTCAAGGGAATTACGCTTGGTGGGTGCAGGAGGGACAATCTGAAAAGGTTCTATAATGTACGATTCCACTTAAATAACAATCACTATTGAAACAACAAGACTGCAGAAGCAAAGAACACACAAGCAGTTGCCTGGGGTTAGGGATGGGGAGGGCACATGGCTATGGAGAGGTCCCAGGAGGGAGCCTGTGGAAACGGAGTTCTGTATCTTAATCGGAGTTCTGTACCTTAATCGTGGTGTTGGTTACATGAATAGAAACACGTGATAAAACCGTACAGAACTAAATGAATGCATGTAAAACCAGTTACATCTAATAAGCTCTGTGGATTGTACCAACGGCAATTTTCTGGTTTTAATATTTGCACCATAGTTCACAAGATGTTTCCATTGGAAGAAGCCAGAAAACGGGTACACACCCGGGACTCTCTGTACATTTTTACCAACGTCCCACATATCTATAATCAATTAAAAATAAAAAAGTTTAAAAAGTTAAAACTTTAGTTCATCAAAATACACCATAAAGAAATAGGGAGGGGAGGGGATGGTGGAATCATAAACTGGGGGAAGGTGTTTGCGAGACATGTAACAAGGAAAGGTTTAGTATCTACGTTAATAAAATAAGCCAAGGGGAAAAAAAGGACACTAATGAACTGATCTACAAAACAGAAGCAGACTCACAGACATAGTAAACAGTCTTGTGGTTACTGGGGGGATGGGAGTGGGAAAAGAGAAATTGGAGAGTTTGAGATTTGTAAATGTTAGTCACTACATACAAAAATAGATTAAAAACAAACTTCTTCTCTATAGCACAGGGAAGTACATTCAATATCTTGTAATAACCTTTAACAAAAAACAATATGAAAACAAATATATGTATGTATATGCATGAATGGGACATTGTGCTGTGCACCAGAAATTGACACATTGTAACTGACTATGCTTCAATAAAAAATAAATAAATAAATAAAAATAAAACAACCCAACAGAGAAATGCGCAGAAGAGTTACCCAGAGCAAGGCGCCCCCGTCTCCCAGCCAAGTCTCCACAGGTCTGGCCAGGTGGTGGGGGTGTAGGTAGGAGTGTCCCCATCTCTTCTACTATTTATGCCTTGACAACCACAGTACAACATCCAATCACGAGTCTCTTACCTCCTCTGGGTAGGTGAGGGGTACGTCCCTTTCTATCTTTTTATAAAACCCGAGAAGCGTGAAGTCTAAAAACAGAAAGACCATTTGCAGAGAATCTGGGGACAGCACACACACTGCTCTCTTCTCTCAGTGCCTGTCAAGTCACAGATGGTCCCATCTGCCTCCCACGAGAAGGAAAAACCGTTACCTGGTGATGCCAGGAGGTCTCAGACCCCAAAGAGCTAGTTACCCTGAAGGTCCCCCACAACCAGAGCCTCTCAAAGTACCTTCTGTCTCCATCTGTGCACCTCTCCATTCCCCAAACCATCACTAGAGGCATCCAGCAGGCATCCCTATTCAAAACTCTTCCCTAACGTCTCCTG